GGTGAAGATTTGATTTAAAAAAACTACTGCTATCTTGAAACAACTCATGAACTAAAAGAAAACTAAGTGAGCAAGATCAAACATTTCATAAAAACACAAACATTACAATACAGACACAGAATACCCATAATATGTCTTATGAAACCACTGCCTCCGCCTTTGTCGTTGGTGAAACCCCTAAAATTTCCTCCCTGTGCATCAAAGTTACATATTTCAACGTTTTTCCATGAAAATAATCTCCTGGCTTGGATGCGGCTGTACACTGCAGATCTGGAAGTTCCTGCCTCTCTCTTCTTTCACCTCTCCCCACTCCCTGCCGCTCAAGCACACCAGCTCATCTACAACTCTGCTCAAACACTGTAAAACCTTTCTGGACTGACTGCTTGGGTTTGTTTCTTATGAAACTCAGAATGTGTGTTTTAGAAACTGTTCTCGGTACACTGCAGTTTAAGGGTGGACATGCTCCATGTTGTAGATTAACAAGGCAAAATACTTGAGTTTAAATAGAGACAGTCTTTACATAAACACATATGCATCACTCTCACATGACATTTCTGTTCTATCAAGTAACACAAACTCCACACTGAAAACACAAGGCCTTCTAATCTAATTGTTTTTCCCAAAATATCATCACTGGGCAAAAACTATTAATAATGATGTTATATTCCTACTTGGATGTGAGTAGCAGATATGCTTCATTTGCGCCTCCATTTGTCAGTGAAATCAGAGCTACAAAACTTTTTTCCAGCCTTGATATTTAAAAGTTGCAAACACATTATTATGCCCGCTCCATGTGTTGCACTCCCAGATTCATTCACACTCTTTAAATACCAGATTGTCATAACAATCCCACTCACTCCCTATTTCTATTTGTCACATTGCCATAACAAGGATAATCACTCTGTTGAAAATCTTCCAGTAAATTTCACCTTCAGCTGCTTCTCTCTCAGTGACCTGTAATCATTAGCTTGATTACTGGACATCCAGGGAAAAAAAAAATGAAGCCACAGCCAATTAATGCCACTGCCAATAACTCAATCAAGCCAAAATGCGAGATGGTGGAAGTATCCAAACAAATGCTGCCTATAAATGTGCAGTTGTCTTCCAACTCTGCCAAAGCAATCATTCTGCATCATTAAATTTCACTTTACTGGCAGTAATGTCAGCATTAGCCCGACAGCTATTAGATGTTAACTGAGTGCTGTGAATTATTTTGTTACATTTTCTGGTCTTGTTAAATAAAATGAGGCTCTGTTGAAGGACAGAGATGTGTGAATGCACGCAGAACAGACTATTGTGGGTCCACATTCATATTCGAGACTTTGATTAGCAAAAACCTTGAAATTTAAAAGCGTTTTTATGCAGAAACGACAGGGTGTTAAAGAACTTGGCATCTGATGCACACCAGGTCATTTTCTTATTGATCTGCAAAGAAATTGAATTACACCAGGCACTATATTCTTTGAATTTTAAAAAGACATATTGCTGCATTGGTAATAGCCTTGATAAACCTTTAATTAGACACATTCATCTGGACTTTAATTACTTTCAATTTCTGTCGTTAGTATGCCATCCGTCTGATTTCAGCGTCTGCACAGGACGAGTGTTCAATTTACATCGACTTTAAATAGATTTTTTTAGGCTGTTTAACCATGAAAATGGTATGCGTACTATTTTTGCATGCTCTGTTGCTTCCAAATGTGACTTGCTGCGGTCTGAAGAGTCCTGTGAAGAAACTTTTCATATGCAAAGTGAACGTAGCCGCCTCACGCACCTGTATTTAAATATCCCGTGTCTTCACTAACAGCAGCTCCACGGTGAGCTGTGGATGCTGTCATGTGATGAATGCTGCAAAATCAAAAAAAAAAAAAAAACACCTGACAGTGAGCACATGTTACTTATAGAATCTGCTCATGTAGTTAATTGGATTTCCTCATGCAGGTGTAATGAGGATGGACACTGGGTGTTTATTTTTAGACATCATCAGTTACATTTGATCAATGCCATGCTGTACATTGTGGATTGGTGGATACAGAATTCACCAATTTTTGTGGGTTGTTTTAGTCTATGAAAGGCAACTTTTTAAGCTGCTGCTGTTTTCTTGTGTTACAGCACGTATTTACCTGTTGTGTCCAGGATAAAGGCAAACAAAGATAAGGTGAGTTTTTGTCTTTTTTATTGTACATGTTAGCACTTTTGTCTGGATGGAAATGTAATGTTTCCTGTCCTACATGGCCAGCAGTATGTGAACACCTCATCCTTACACTGACATGTGATTGTTGAACATCTCATTCTAAGGCATTAACTCCACTGACGGGGTGACAGGCTCTTGTTTTGTCACATGCAGGTTTCTAGTAATAGTTAATGCTGATGTAGCAGCAATATCAAAGCAGCCACCACATTTTATTAGTACATTCCATTATTACCAGGTGCCGATTTCAGCTGCTTTTTTTTTTTTTACCCTTCTCATGAAGGTATTTAGACTAAACCGTTAATGGTCGCTGGGTAAACACTCTGACAGACGACATATTAAACCTTGTTTGAGTGTCCCACTAAATTAGGTCCAGTTTAAATTCCACTTGTATCAGATGTTTTAAACTAATTCACCTTAATTATACAAATAAAGCAACCCTGGAGCGTTTTTTTTTTTTTTGTGTGACGCAGAAATGTTGTCAAATCTCATGTATCGACAGTATGTTGAGAAAGAGAAATAAAATATTACTATAACAAGCTCATATGCCTGTGTTTACTTGTAGATTTGTTTCTTTGAAGGCGTGACCGTGGGTGTGTTAAAAGGGTGAAGGGGCCCAGTGAGGCTGTGGATGCACATGCATCGGTGCTGCTGATGATTCTACATCGTCGTTGTGTGCCACATAGCAACGACATGCCATGCGTCTTCTGCTGACAAGTGCTATTTTCACGGCAATGAGCCTTGTAAAGAATGTCGTGTGAGCCGCTGTAACATCACACAGAAAGATAACCGTTCTCTGCAGGCAGCCGTGATGTGTTGAACGCTACATTTTCCTGCTGGCTAATAAGGCTGTAATTCAAAATGATACATTATTCAGATGTGCAAAGGAAATGCAGGCAGAGCAGATATGTAAAACATGCACATTTTAGCAGTAACATGTGGGAATTTAAACAAATAGCTGTATCCTGTGGACATACGGATTAACTGGTGTTAATTAAATCTTATAGTCATATATTGAAGCTTAATGGAGAAGCGGAAGTTAGGAATTAAATCAACATACAAGACAGCCTTTCAAAATATTGTCAGATTTTTAATAGATACTTTAGATTAAATGCAATGTAATTCAAATACTATTTTATTTATGTACGTATGTATTTAAGTACATAGTTGAAACCAGAAGTTTACATACACTGTACAAAAAGACATATAACCTTTTTTTTGTCTCACTGTCTGACATTAAATCAGACTAAACTTTTCCTGTTTTAGATCAGATAGGATTGCCAAAATTATTTCTATTTGCTAAATGCAGGAATAATGAAAGAGAGGATTTTTAAAAAAAAAATGTTTTATTACTTTCTTCAAAGTCAGAAGTTTCCATACAATAAGATTTCTATGCCTTCAGACTATTTGAATGATGATGATGATGTCATGGCTTTGTAAGCTTTTGATAGGTTAATTGACAACATTTGAGTTAATTGGAGGCACACCTGTGGATGTATTTTAGGGCTCACCTCAAACACACTGCTTCCTTTGGTGACAACATGGAACATCTGAAGAAATCAGCCAAGATGTCAGGAAGAGAATTGTGGAGCTCCACAAGTCTGGTTCATCTGTTCAAACAATTTTCAGATGTTGTGGGGGTTTTCTGCTGCAGGAGGGACTGGTGCACATCACAAAACAGAGAAGGCATCATGAGGAAAGAACATTATGTGGTGAAGCAACATCTCAAGACATCAGCCAGGAAGCTAAAGCTTGGGGGCAAATGGGTCTTCCAAATGGACAATGACCCTAAACATACCGCCAGATTAGCTACAGAGAGGCTTCAGGACAACAAAGTCAATGTTTTGGAGCGGCCATCACAAAGCCCTGATCTCAATCTTGAACATTTGTGAGCAGAGCTGAAAAGGCGTGTGGAGCAAAGCGGCCAACAAACCTGACTCAGTTCTGTCAGGAGGAATGGGCCAGAATTCATCAAACTATTGTGAGAAGCTTGTGGAAGGAAACTCAAAACTTTTGACCCAAGTCATAGAGTTTAAAGGCAACGCTACCAAATACTAAGGAAATGTATGGAAACTTCTGACTATGAAGAAAGTAATAAAAAACTCTCTCTCTCATTATTCTGGCATTTAGCAAATAGAAATAATGTTGGTAAACCTAACTGATCTAAAACAAGAAAAGTTTTGTCTGATTTAATGTCAGACAGTGAGAAAAAAAAAAAAAGGTTATGTATTTTTTTATACAGTGGATGTAAACTTTGGTTTCAACTGTACATGGCTGGTACATGATTGAACATTGTGTTGTTGGAAGGTGAACATATACAGTAGATAAACTGTGTGCTGGACAATGAATGGAAGTAGAAAACAATTAAATGTGGACAAGACACAAAACTTACAGTACAAGTCATGCTGACGTCTGCCCCTCTTCTCCTTTCTTAGTTTGTACACTCTTGATTCCTTTCCTCGCCTCCTCTCCTCGCGTCTTTGTCCCAAAAGCGAGGAGGAGAAACGAGGAAAGAGGAGTCGAGGTCATCTGACAAAATGAGACATCATTGTGCTGCAGCTTTAGAGCAATTAAATATGATGTGTGTCACAGCTGCATTATCTGTCCATTGTTCTGCTATAGACGATCAACTGGATTTAATTATCTCTGACAGACAAGCAGAACAGTTTTCATCGCAACGTACAGGATATATTTAATTTCAATTTAAAACGTGACAGAATGTGAGGGGAAAGTGCGGACGAGTGCTTTGAAGTGTAAAACATTCATTACACGCCAAAGAGTACCACACAAGTAGAGAGCGACATAAATTATGATTTGTCCGTTCTGTTTCTGCCACAGTTTGTATGTTTCAGCTATGGGTGCTAAAAAAAACTTCCACGTTGCATACAGTGAGGATACAGCTGTGCATCCTCCTCTGGCAAACCTCCTCTCTCGTCGAGATGCATTTTAGGAATCGAGACGTCCTTCATGATTGATTTCCGGGTCACAGGCAGGAGGACGGAGTAGCTGAGGAGGCTCAAAGTAGAGAAATGAGATGAGCCTCTGGTTGAATCCAGACATTTCTGTGACAAACAGATCGAGATTGTGGCTTTGCATTGCTTAGTGTAGTTACTTATAACTGTCATTGCTGCCCCACTACCAAACAGAGCAGTGGACCATTAACACTAGCTGTACTCGAACTGGTCAGTCATTCACAAATATGTTTCCCCCCTTCCTCATGAACTGTCTTTTGTTAAAGTCTTTTAAAAAACTTTTATAGTATGTCTTGTGCGTTTTTTTTGTCCCGATGTTTTGCACTGCCTGCCTGCTATCTCAAATTTCATTTTGCTGTCTTTGTACAATGACAATAAAGAGATTCTGATTCTGATTCTGATCTGACCAGCGTGAAAACAGACTAAATGAGAATGTGCTGCTGTATTTTGAGTCGACCGTTTCTCTTCTCTATATTATCACATTTGAATCACCATGTGCCGTATTCACTCCAAGAATCCAACAAACAAAAATATTTTCAAGGTCTTTTTCAGCAAAAAAGGTTAAAAAAAAACAAAGCTTGAGAGGTGGATGTTAAGGGGTTAAGAGCACATCAAACAAAACTCTGGCCCTGACCCATGTGTTACATCTCTTTTGTCTAGCAGCCAAAGCTCTTTAGTTGAGAGCAGGTATTCTTCCTGTGGCCGCTGAGGCTGGTCGATTCAGTGGTGCTCAGGAGGAAAACACGCTGTGTGAGCTGTGCGATTAAGGCGAAGTAGAAAGTGAATCTTGCTTTCTTTTGTACTGTACAAAGTGTGATTTAAGAAAGTTAATTTTCCGTGAAATGACTTGACAAAACTCTAAATTATTCTTGGTTCCCAGAATGGTTGTTTAATTTTGACGTGTTTAAGTACATACCATCATTCACTTCCTGATCTTGGCGCTGCTGTACCATAAAGATTTCCCCTAATTTGAACTGGGGCTCAGTCCAAACCATTAAAAACAGCCTCAGACCAAACTTTTAAAATCGGTATGTTAGAATATATTTTGGCAATAGTACATACCGCTTGCTAGATGTGTTATTTATCTAAGTGTAACTGTGAATGCAGTTTAGAATACAGAGTTGAATCATTTTTTTGCGGTTTCAATAAATGGCAAAGATTTATAAATTCCTCTGACTCTGTTGCAGGTGTTGATTTACAGTCCGACATTCTTCAAATACGTCTACGAGTCTTGGCTTGAGGGTCATGGACGATATCCTTCGACCGGTTTCCTCAGCTTGCTGCTCGCCCTCCACATATGTGATGAGGTAAGTTAAAGCTAATAAGAAACACACACGACCTCGACAAACAAGAGTGGATCAGACTCCTCAGTTGAGAGGACATGTGGAACTCTGCGAGGATAGTCTGTGTGATGTTTTACTACAATGCGTTTTCATGAATCAGAAATATAGGGATCTGAACTGAAAATTGAACAAAACCCTCAGATGTACAGAGCCTGTGTGGGTGATGTTTCACCGTGTTTTTGTTATGGTTGTCTCCTCCAGGTCAGTGTGTTTGGATTCGGTGCAGACCAGTATGGAAACTGGCACCACTACTGGGAGGAGAACCATCTGGCTGGAGCTTTCCGACACACGGGAGTCCATGATGGAGATTACGAATATAATGTCACCGTGCTGCTGGCGGACAAGCACAAAATCCGAATGTTTAAAGGCAGATGATAGGAAGCCCCATATGTGCAGTGGGATGACCACCAAATGAACCTCAGCAGCCTTTTAATGTTGATTACTGTCCAGAAGAATGCTTTTTTTTTTTTTTTTCCATGGTTTCCAAAGACATTTTCACACGAGCTACTCTGGTCAGTCCTGTTTCCTGCTGAGTGCATACGTTGCTGTTGAACAAATGTCTTTGACAAATCGACAGAGTTTTTGTCTCTCTGCGTCCAGGCGCAGACCATCGAAAAACACAGCACTGCCACGTTCCATAATGTCTGAGCCCAACTCAAAGACATCTGGGACTGAACACAGACGAGGACAAGAGAAGAAGCTGTCTGTCAAGCATGCTATACATAAAAAGCCTCAGTACTATTATATAGTATGTGTAAACTCCATATTTTCTTTTTTTTTATGACAGTGGCAAGCATTGTGGACACCTTTGTATGTTAATGTTCATTGATACAAAATATTCTCTGATGACAGTAGTGATCAGACTAAGTGCCAAAACCGAACAGCTGATGTGTGGACATGGTGCAGGGTAGTTTGTGCAGAATTGATCATTGTCTTTTATGTAGGAAGAGCCTGTATTGGAAGCTGTTAAAGTCCAAATTGATAACCAACAAACATAAAAGCATTTTAAGTTTCATAACGAAACCACTTCAGAATGCACTGTAAATATCATTTCCACAATGTGGCAGTGAAGGCGTTTTACATTATATTAGATGTGAGAGAGAATCAGCTTTTTTTTTCATCACACTGATCGATTTGGACATAAAGTACCCGCACCACAGACCTACTTGCATCCTGCCTGTCTGATTGCAGCTGTAAAATACAGTTCGACGAGGCTAAAGGGACACTTAAAATCAAGGCCAAAATCAGCCGCAAAGAACATATTTTACTACAATGTGACATTTATAGAATGCCCACAGGGCTGTAGCCAGCTTTTTTTTTTTTTTTTTTTAAGAAATACTGAAGTCATACGTTTCCTAACACATTGTCTTTCCTACTTGGAAGTTTTGTATCTCATAGTAAAGATAGCATCTCATTATTCAGTGATTATTTATTTTGGCCTTATTTATGTATTCAGTGAACTATGCATCTTCTAAATTTAAGTAAATTTTAGTGCTCACTACATCAATGTTGTTTTGAAGCCACCATGCCAGAAGCAGAATTCTATCAAAACTTGCTAAACTTTGCAGTTTGAAATATAAAGCCAAAAATAATAAAAATCAAGCCCACAGAAATATGCATCTTTCAGCCAATCAATTATCACGGCTCCAAGGATGTCAACATTGGACTTGTTGGTCAGCTGATGCTTTGGCCCAGACTAACATTATTTAAAGATTTGTGGTCTCTAGATGATTTTACTTTGCTGATCCCTGACTTTTCCTCTTATGCTAATCATAAATCAAGCTTTGGGGTTTTAAGTGAACAACTGTTGGACACATATTCATGTAGTTGAAATGTGGTGGCCTCCTAAATTTCTCTTTATCTCAAATTTAATGTTTGGCTTAAGACTAAATACCCAGAGAACCAATGACATTCCCATCAGCTGTGCTTTGTGAGTTGTGCTAACTAGCCAGTGTTAGCATGCTAACATGCTAAACTACTGTATGATGGTAAATATGGTAAACATCCACTATGCTGAGCTTCATAGTGTCGGTAGTGTCACTGTGAGCATTTTAACATGTCGACATTAGCATTTAGCCGTAGACTGTATGTAGGAGTTGGACGGAGACGCTGTCGTGTCACCTGCTGGTTTGTGGACTAACATCCTGAAGCCTCCAGTTTGAAATTTGTGGTCCTTAAAAAAAAAAACAGACATAGTGAACTAGCAGACAGAACTTAAGGACACTACAGACGCTGATAAGGTCGCGACCCGCCGATCACAAGGTCTAAAACAGACCTGGCTTTATCATTTATTCTATTAGAACTGGGAACATCATTTCCAAAGTGAACATCATCCTGGAATTAAGACCATAAACTCATTAGAAAAATATTTTTTGAGGTAACAGATCAAGTTGGGTCATTTTCTCATAGACTTCCATACAAACTGTTTTTTTTTTTGTTTGTTTGTTTTCTTTTTACTGGAGGAGTCGTCCCCTGCTGGCTGTCAGAAATAATGCAGGTTAAAGGCACTTAAGCATCGATTTCACTTTTCATACTTGGAGGCTACATCCATCTTTTATATACAGTCTATGCAATTATCTCAAAGCACCTTGTTAAAGTCGAGAATGGACATAGTGTTTATAGTACAGAGCATGTAGCATACAGCGTAGCCCTGATCACCCACGTCCAGCTAAAGGTTTCATTGTACAGCTGAACAAAAAGGAAACTGCATTTTTAATCATTTATTGTTTTGGTGTTTGGCGGTTGACTTTTTTTGTGTTTTGTTTTTTAATCCGTCGGATCCTAAAGGACTCTACAGGAGACCTGCAGCAAGGTGTGGAATAAGAGTTGTTATAATGAAATAGTCAATGAGAATTTCATCATGCACTGTGATGAAAACATGAGTGAAGGGTTTTTAATACAAGAGGTGTAACACAAACACCAGGTTCTTTACTGTTTATAATGGACACCTGACATGTGATACAGCCTAAACAGGGGTGCCTTATCATTCCAATCAATGACGTATTGTACATTTTTGATGCACATTGTGACATACATTTTTGAATAAAAGTAGGTGTCAAGTGCCTTTAATGGGAGTTTTTAAGACTTAATGTTACCACCAGATTAGACTGTATTATCATAGTTATTCCTGGATCTAGAAGTTTATGTTATTGTTGTGTATACAGTGTAAATTTTAAGCAATCATATACATGTACATAGAGTATAGCCATGTTAAGTAACTGTCAGTAAGATGTCAACGTGTTTGGCTCTGCGATTTTACTAAGCCTCTGCTATGTTTTGTCCAAACTCGAAATTATTATGAGCTGCACTTGCTGAACTTGATGTGTGAACACTGAACCGAATGGAAACCACAAGCGCTTACCCTGCTCTCATTTTCACCCAGAAATGTCTGATCTGAAACACTGCAGGTGTTGGGTTCAGATTCGTCAGGAGTTAAGCTTGTACCTAAAAGGCTTTGATTTGCTCCATGTGCCTTGAAACATAATGGAGACATTTTTCCCGGTCAGCGTCTTCATGATCGTCTTCATCTTGACGTAAGAGCAGGTTGTTAAGTTGAAGACAAACCACAACATTTGTTCAGTTTGCATTTCTGTCCTTCCACCTTGTACACATGCTGTCACAGAAGACAACAGTCTGTTTGTTCTTCAGGGAATACTGGCACCTAGTGGACACGAACATGTATCAGCATTAATGTCACTTAATTTGAAGATTACAGTAATTACTTTGTATTAACTGCAGTTTAATTTGATTAAAAATGCATGTCATTCACCTCTATCTGATTTACTTTTACACCCTGCTGAGGTCGAAAGTCTTAATTACTGAATAATTATGTAAAACCTGTAATGAAGAAATTTCTCACAGATTATCTATATATATATATTTTTAAAATAGCCAAAGAATGTATATTCGTTGGCTATTTTTCCTAGTCTGAGGAAACTCTGGCTCAGGTCAGTGACACTGACTTGTGTGAAAGAGATGGATGATGAAATCCTAAATTATTCAGTTATTCTGTGGACTCCCACAGTGCAGTAAAATACAACTGGAGCTTTTTTTTTTTTTTTTTTTTTGCTGAAACGTGTGAAAAGGACAAGGAGGTTAATTATTTATAAATAATACATTTCATGAATTTTGAGTGGGCTCGGTGTAATTTGGATCGCTAGTAGCTTGTAAATGGACAGGTGTACACATTGAAATACGTCAGTCTGCAGCAGTGGAAGCCAGTTAAATACATCCCAGTGTGTCATTTGAGAGGAAATGTGTCACATTTTAGTGTTTCTACACAGTCATCTAACTGCTTTTGAAAATCTGCTTTTTTACCTCATGTCAGTTTTCAACATCTTTGTTCTGTTTTTGCCGCAGTAGGAATCTGTTTTTCCCTCGTAGATATCCATCCCACTTGTATTTCTCCTTTAAAAGATAAATCAGAAACATGGTCAGTAATCAGCCTTAATTCGTGAGGGGATGTACAACCGAGTGCCCCTCTTGATGTGGTTGTTATTTGTTTTTTCCACCTTTACAGCTAATAGTTTGTAGTAATAAAAAATGTGTGAATGCCATTCTGAGGTTATTGTTTTTTGTTTCTGCTTCATATACAGGAAAACTGTTGCTACTCTGCTTTCTCATAAGCGCTTTGAAGAAACACTCTGTGTGATTAAACACACCATCAGGATGTAGAGTTTGATATAAATATTGGATGGTAAACAGGATGTGTGTGTTTGGTATTGTATGGTTAAGTGAGATTGAAACCAAGCTGCAGTTGTTATTCTTAAGAACTGTCCCTGAGTGCTGTGAAGAAACTGTTTGGTTCTTTTCTGGGGTTTTTTCCTCATTAGGAGGAAGTTCAGTATCTCCCAACATGACTTCACGACAGCTGCTTTCTGGCTTCGCATTTTTCAAATTAGTGATCGCTGATTCAGAAATCGTATTTCGTAACTTTTGGGCTTCAGGATTTTTAATACCCAACATAATTTTTGCGTCCTTTCAACTAGCAGCACAGTTGTTAGGCGTTGTTATGAGGTATAGAAGGCATTAAAGGAGCAAACCTGAAGTTTAGTCGATATGTACTGTGTAAACAGTGCTTAACAAATGTATTAGACCACCACCACCAAATGTAAGGTTGATGCAACAGCTGCCCTAAATTAACAGCATTGGTAATTATCTAAATATTTTTTTTATGTTTCTGTAATGGTTAAAACACCAGTAGGTAGAAACTCTTTAATCAAACTTAGATTTTTAATGCTAAAATGTAATCATTATTGTTATCCATGAATTTTTAAAATTTACTGTTATATTAATAAAAACTGGGGGAAAAATTGTAAATCACATTAATATTCCTTGATTAAGATGTCAAGTTAAAGTTATTTACTTGGATTCCTGAACAGCAAAGAAAAAAGTGGCTGGATGTTGATGCTTCATTCATTTCTGACTTCTCAGAGAAGCCCAGTGGCTCCGCTTTGGGTATAAAAAGGTTCAGTTTGAAATTCTTCATTCCTGTTTAAAATGGTAAAACGTGCCAAACAAATTAGACAGGTGGTCTAATACACTTGTTAAGCACTGTGTATATCCATCCATTATCTACACACCGCTTAATCCTCACGAGGGTCGCGGGGGGGCTGGAGTCTATCCCAGCTGACTTAGGGTGAAGGCAGGGGACACCCTGGACAGGTAACCAGTCTATCACAGGGCTACACTTAGAGACAGACAACCAAGCACACTCACATTCACACCTACGGACAATTTAGAATCACCAATTAACCTCAACATGTTTCTGGACTGTGGGAGGAAGCCGGAGAACCCGGAGAGAACCCATGCTGCATTAGGAGAACATACAAACTCCACGCAGAAAGATTCCGGTGCCCCCACCGGGATGCAAACCGGCAACCTTCTTGCTGCGAGGCAACAGTGCTACCAACTGCGCCACCTTGCAGCCCGCACTGTGTATATATCACATAAAATTCTCTAAATGCTCAGGTTGGTCTACTGATTATATATAGGCTCATAAAAGTGAAATGGAAAGTTTAGAAGTTTTAGAACACACTGAACAGTATGGCGTCTGTTCTGCAGCTACTTTATTTACAGTGCTGTACAAACATTTAGGCGCATTACTTTAGAATCCTGCCCATCATGCAGTGCCATCAGGGAGCCATGTGATCTGTGCCAAATTCATTCTGCAGGAGGACAATGAGTCCAAACATACAGTCACACTCATAAAGAACTGTGTTCAGCATCAGAATGAACACGGAGTATTGCAGCAGATGGCACAGCCCCCACTGAGCCCTGATCTCAGCATCATGGAGTCAGCCTGGGATTACAAGAAGACACAGACGACACCGAGGCAGACCAGATCCAACTGTGGCAAGTTCTCAGAGATGCAGAAACAGGTGTCCTGGCATCCTGACGCTGGAGGCACATACAGCATAACGGCAACTTCCACAGTTTGAAAAAAAAAAGATGCTTGGAACACACTTTGGTCAATTTACTGATCAACCGTACCTATTCTATTGTGCTCATTGTTTATGCTTTAATATATTTCCTGGGCAACCCTGAATATGCACCATATGTTAGAGGTAGGTAAGGGTAGAGTTAAGGAAACCAGGTGAAGCTCGGTGGAAGATACGTGTTGATCGATTAGGGAATGGGTTATTTCATATTAAAGAAAGTTCCATTTGGGATGAACACATCATTGGATGTATGAGGTGTATTTATTTCAATAATGAAAAGCAGAGCATTTGTTTGCTCAGAGACTCTGTGTTTACTCAAAGTAAAGGGCAGCGCGCTGATGATATATGGACTAAACCAAAACTGCGCACATTTAGGATGATAAAAAATGCATACGGAAAATGCTGATAATTTGTGAAATGAGCTAGATGTGCAGCATGGCATATGATTTAAAATTAAACTAAGCTAAATTATAATGAAAGAAACAGAGTGCTGCACTGGGTCAACAACAACATGATAAAAATACTAAACTAGGAGCTCATCAAGCTTCTATTAGTAAAGAAGAAGAAATAATGACTGTCCCACTTTTCTTAATGGAAGTCCTTCGGGTTGGTCAGCGGTCCAAAGAGCATCTGAGGCACTCTGATTTTAAATACTAAAATGCTTTAATAATACGCTCACAGTGAGTCAGTCAGACACTGTGATGCTCTTTGGACTGCCGGTCAATATGAAGGGCTTCCATTAATAAGAAATGAGGCAGACATTATTGTTTCTTCTTTACTAACCTAAATGATTATTCATAGAATATATCTACACTTGATGGACTTTAATTCGATCCAGTTGCCGATCAATTCCAAGATGCTTTTTATTTGCAGCCAATGGGATCTAATTCAGTGTTTATAATGCACTCATTAC